GTATGATTTTGAGATCCATCTTTTCACTCTGAGGACAATTGAGGGACTCATGCATAACAATTACAAATAGTCAAAACATTTAAGAACAATTTACACATCACCATCCTGTTCAAAAGTTTACACCCCCCAGCTCTTAATGCATTGTGTTGCCTTCTTGAGCATCAGTAAATGTTTCCACCTTTTGTAATAGTTGTGTATGAGTCCCGCAGTTGTCCTCGGTGTGGAAATATGGATATAAAAATCATACAGTCACTTTTGGAAAGGGTTCAAATATGCAGAAGATGCTGGAAAACCAAAGAATGTGCAGAAGCTGGAGGATTTTTCTGAAGAACAGCAGGCAGTTGAACTGCTCGGGACCAACAAGGGACTCATGAAACACTATCACAAAACAGAAAAACAGTCGTGGATCATCCAGGAAACGACACACAGTATTAAGATTCAAGGGTAGGCCTATGTCAACTTTTGAATGGGGTCATTTTTATGTAAACATCTGTTATGTGAAATAGCTTAGTCAGGACAGTACTAAATAAACTTTCATGATCCCTCTTATTTTGTAAACTTATAGGCACAACTGCAAATAGTAAAAATATATTAGTGACTGATGTAAGACAATGTTCTGAACTTTTAAAAGGAAAGAGACTTAGACATTGCTTTGTACAATTTATTAAATAATTGATCTCATTATTGACCTGACATCATTCAATTGCTTTTTGAGTTTTACAACAGTCAATCACTGTTTGTGGAGGCCAAAAGAAAGAATGAGTGTGGTACATGAAGTACTACCAATTTTTCTTCCTTTTTTTTTTTGGTCCCTAGAGGAGAAGCTCTGAAACTCACTACTTTACACTGCATGTTGGTCAATCCTGTTTTGGCTTTATTTATTGACAACAAAAATAGTCTGTAAATGGCAATATTGTGTTTAAGATGCAAGTTCCTCAATATTAACATGTTGTTCATTGGACTGTTATGTTGTGTAAAATATCACAGTTGTGATGTTGGCCTGAATATCACTACATGTAATTATACAGTCTAGAATTACTTCCGAAAAGTACCCGTCATAGGTATCTCTGAAAATGAAAAAAAAAAGGAGTCTAAAATGTTGGGCTGGTCGTACAGAACTAAGACAGAAGCAAACTCTGCTGCTCTTAGCCACAGAAAATAATGTGGTAGGCCAAAGAAGACCACTACAAAACCTAGTTAACTAGAAAAATCTCTCATGTGATGAGAAAACACAGGCGATGAGAACAGGTGTTATAACTCATGGAAGAGTCAGTATGTAATATCAAGTATAAACTTAAGGGAAAATAGTATTGATACTGTCCATTTCAGGGATACTGTTAAATAATACTAAACATTTACTATTACATAAATTTGAAGAAAGTACACAAACAAGCCTGCAAGCAAAGCTGGAATGTGAGTTTACAGAACCCTCGGCTAGATTGTAAAAATGGGCTCTACTACTGTAAAAATTTAAATATTCATATAGTAAACGTATCAGCAAATCATCTTGCACTGGCAAAGAAACAGCTTTCCTTTACTGCAGTGTCTCCCTTTGAGAACACAAATAAAGACAGAGATAGCTAGAAAAACAAGGATAATTAATCAGAAATGTTTTGTTCTGCTTTCATACTTTATGATCAGTTTTGAGAAAATTCTCTTACATAAGCAGAGAATAAGCGGCATTCTTCTTCGGGCCTCCATCTTAGGAAGCACTTTTTGTGGTTGGATTTCAGAACAGTCTAACAGCAACCTCTGCTGGTCATTTGAACACAAAGGCCAGGGCCCATAAAATTAACAGTACAACATGAGGAAATTATGATTTATTGACATGATCATTTTGACAGTTTGGTTTATTAAAATGAAAGAGATTCATTCATTGACATTTTTTGAAGCATTAGCTTATTTATAAGTTACATGCTGATCTGACCGGTCATATGAACACTTCTCATTTTGTCCAGAGAATATTAGACATGCACTTCAATCAAAAGCTTTCCAAAGGCTCAATCATTCTAAAGCCTCGTTAAGTAAATTACTGAAGGACACAGCTCTGTCCCACAATTTACAAACATCAAGATAATAATGAGAACAATAAAAAGGCACTTATGGCAAGTGTTAAAGTCACGATGAAATGTTAATAGCAGATCTTTTCTTCCATATGTTGATGAACATCTGAGTGAAATGGATCATAGAAAAAGCAAAAAAATATATATATAATAAAATGTAGGATGGGAACTACGGATGGGGGTCTGCATTCACAAATGAATTGTTCACACTAACGTCTATAAAAAATACATAGTGTAAGTTTTCATTTCATGCTTACTTTAGCTTTTGGTGGTCCTTTCTGTATTTCTCTTGTGTTTCCTGGCATGTTTTTCCGCAGCGGCAACCTCACTTGTAATTGTTGTAATCTGGCAAAATAATAAATAAATAAATAAAATATTTACATTTATATTTCTTGACTTAATAAACAGAAACTTACAAAATGTCAGTGTGAAAAATAGAAGTTGTCACTAAGGTGTGTATTGCTAGCTACTGTAGATCTGTACAGATACACTTTACCTCAGTGAAGTAACTTAATAGTAACTGTACCTCATTATTGACATGATCAATTATTTGGATTTGATCTTCAATCTTGTTGCTCAAGTCCAGTGCCATGTTCTTTAAAATTTCAACGTGGTTGACCACCTGACTTAGATTCTCTTCCATCTCATCTTCTCGATCATCATTTGTTATTCTTACAGAAACAAAACAAGCATCACTTGAATTTCAAGCTAAGACCTTTAAGGTCAAATCAGTTATATATACATATATATATATATATATATATATATACATACATACATACATATACAATTAATAGCTTATGCCATAAGCATAACACAAATCTCCAGCTAACTTCATCATATGAACAGACAGTCACATTGGATCACTATGAGAGCTGGATTCTGTTACTCTCAGTGCTATTTTCCCCTCACCTCTTGATGTAGGGGCCAGTGGGGGCCGCTGACCCAGCAGAAACAGCCTGCCCATTGCGAACGGCAGTCGGTTGGCTGGATACCACCTTCTGCTTGCTTTCCTTTGGTTCCCTGACCTGCTTTTTTCTCCAATCACTCTCGGTGGACTTCAGTCTATAAAACAATCCATTCAAATCCAAAGAAATACATCAAATATAAGCACTGAGGTGAAAACTTTAAACTAAATGTGCCAGTTTAGTTTATTTTCCCTACTAAAAAGGTCAGATTAGACCAGCATGGCCAAGTTGGTTTATGCTGGTTAATGTTGTTTTAAAGGGGTCATATGATGTTTCTAAAAATAACATTATTTTGTGTATTTGGTGTAATGAAATGTGTTTATGCGGTTTAGGGTTAAAAAAACACATTATTTTCCACATACTGTACATTATTGTTTCTCCTCTATGCCCCGCCTTTCTGAAACGC